CATCTTTAACTCTAACCCACGCACCATCCATCCATCCATCCATCCATCCATCCATCCATCCATCCATCCATCCATCCATCCATCCATCCATCCATCCATCCATCCATCCATCCATCCATCCATCCATCCATCCATCCATCCATCCATCCATCCATCCATCCATCCATCCATCCATCCATCCATTCATTCATTCATCTACCCATCCATAGTACTGCATATTTCTGTCTATCGCCTTCATCCTGGCTGTCATTACGGTCATCATTGGATTTGTAGCCTCAGCTTTCGTTAGTCAGTGGAATGACATTTCAGACCGAAATTAATTTGGGCATTTTTTTCGGAATTTGCCATTTTTCCCAATGCAAATCATGCATCGTTATTTGTGTCTCGTTATTTTGTTATTACCATTCAACGATTACTTTTTCAATAATGCTATTGTCATTTCGTTATATTAATTTCATTTCGCTCGGTATCGCTACATATATCTTGTTACCCTGAATTTTGCTATTGTAACGAATTTCTTTAAATTTGTTAAAATTTCAATAACTTTCGAAGAATCGTGCTAATGATAATAATTCAGACTGAAACAAAAATTTCTTCAGATAGTATCAACTGTAGACGCTGTCTTTAGAAACCACCTTCTTTTCTACCATAAGATGGGCAGCAGCAAGTCATTCATAGACCACGTACAGAAAGAAGTTAGTTCGTCGGTATGGTTGAGATGGAACGACCACAGTAATAAAATCGAAGATTATAATTAATAATAAAACTAATAGTTATCATCACTATTTGATGACATTTCTCTTTGTTATTTTTTTAAACAGAATAAATGCTGCGGCTACAACAACCATGAGGATTGGTGGATATCGGAAGTGCCTGAATTCACCGTGAACAATGGTCTCCTGCCTTCAACTTGTTGCGAACCGCACGCCGAAAACATGTGCCAGTTTCACGGAATTCAATCTAGAAAAGTTTTTACTCAGGTTTTTACTTTTCTTTCTTTCTTTCTTTCTTTCTTTCTTTCTTTCTTTCTTTCTTCCTTCCTTTCTTTCTCGTGTCTTATCCTTTCAGGACATTAGCCACCACCGACCTCCACAAAACCCGATCTTTAACACTCTGTGGTAGACATTGGTGTCATTAAACAAGTGACACGAGAACTTCACGAATGCTATTCGTTGTTGATCGCGATCTCTTTTCCCTGCAATCTTTCCAGTAGTTGTTAGATTTTCCATTCTTTCCTTCCGCATGATGTGACCAAAAAACTTTAACTGCCCCCGTTGGATTATCTGTTGTAATTTCCTCTTTCCATAACCGGACTGTTTTAATACATCCTCATTCGGAGGGTTTTTACTCAGCGATGAATATTCATAAATTCATTTATAGATAAATATTCATTAACTAATTAGCGATGAATATTCATTAATTCAACTAATTCATTGACTAATTAGCAATGGTTGTCCATAAATTTAATCATATATAGAGCACAATAATGATAAACGATGATGGCGGTTTTGGTCATCATTTAACCTAACGAAATCTTGAATCATGTCCGGCAGTGAATGCGATAAGATCCCCGCTAAACGCCAACTAACAAATTGATAGATTAATAATTGATTAATTAATTAATCAAATAATTTTTAATCAAACAAGTAAATTATAATTTGTTTATTCAATTACATGAAACAGGGGTGCAAGCATTTTGTCGAGACGACGACGAATTTATATCTCATTGCAATTATGGCTAGCATCACGGCCATCGCTCTGGTGAGTGTTAATTGTTCTGTGATTGTTAAGTATAATTATCATAATAAAATATAATATTGATAACAATAATTGTTATTTAAAGATTTGTATATAAAAGAATTAGTATCATTATTATTTTATCGTTTACTTAAAAACACAACATTTACTACTACTGCTGCTGCTGCTACTACTAATGCTACTATTACTTCTACTTCTACTACTAGTTACTACAACAGCTACTACTACTAAAAATAATGATGGCTAAATATTATCGTTATGTTTAATGTTCACCAATAGCTCGTTTCATTGATCCTGGCATCAATTCTGACCAGCAAAATTCGAAACGAATACGGTATGGCTTAAACCGACCGTCTGTAATCTTTAAAGGGCCAATATCGATTAACATCGAGTAATCGAGCAATTAAATTAATCGAATATTTGACGGTTTATTTATGTTTGTTTTATTTTTTAAAGTTTGGATGTTTCACTATTTTTTATTGCATGTTATATTAATACCGTTGTTGTTTTTTGATATAAAGACAAAATTGTTAACTATATATTTTTAATAGATATTAAATTACTCCAATAGCTATTACGGCTGTCCATAAGAGATGTCCCAAATTTTAGAGGGTTTTAATGACCCTTCTTTGCCCTACCACAAATTTTCACCCCCTTCCCATTTAGGAATTTTTACCCTTCTTAGAAGTAATACTTTATTTACCCTCAATTCAACATATTACCATGGACAGAATGGATAATGATTGACAAGTGAAAACAAACTGCCTCTTGTGGTGTTCAATCTAAATAATCGCGTACTCGCACATAGCTTCATGAAAAGAACAGCAACATACAAATACTTTACACAAACATACACAAACAAAAGCTAGTTAATTAACTATAAATGTGAATGATAACGAAACAAAAAAAAGTTCGTTTAACCTTTAGACGATAATGAGCTGAAGATAAAACTTTAAAGGGGTTTGATATTTGGTAGAGATAGAGGTTTGGCACGCTAAACAGAATTTAAATTTTGTTATTACGAGATATTGTAATGATGGAAATTTTTTTTTAAATTGATGATGTTTCAATCTTTAAAAAAGCAAAACTGGATGTCATATTGGCTTTTTTTTTTAGATCCCTATCCCATGCAACACCTCCTACGGACAGTCCCGCCTTAGCCTTAAATGTTGCTCCTTACAAGTTTACTTATAAATAGTGCTATTGTTTGTGTTTATGGTATCATCGCAATAATGTGTTTTAATGATAATTAAATTAATTCATCAGTAATTTTGTTTCTAAATAAAAATACAAGTATTTAATTAATTATTTAATAATAAATTAATTAGTTGGTTAATTTACGAAATTAACTCCTACCCACCACGCAATTCTTCCCATATCGCAACATGAGATGGAGCACACATAGCATAAACGAATCCCAAACATACGGAAGTAAACACTTCAGATCGATGTATGCACGCATCTTAAGTTGTGAACGAGGAAATTACAATTACAAGCACACTAGAATAGCCTAAGCCATTGTTTTCTTTACCAGCCCGTACGTCTGGTGTACAAACTTAAACACGCAAACACTCACTCATCCACCCACCCACACACACACGTACGCACACAAACTTTCACACACACACAAACTTTCACACACACACACACACACACAGACACACACACACACACACACAGACACACACACACACAGACACACACACACACACATATATATATATCATCTTCTTAAAACTCAACAATTAATAAGTACCCAACCCACGCATGTGTGAAACTTATTTTATTTATCTTTGATGAAATTTATCCAGCCTTCTTAACAAATCTTCA